GGAAGAAGAGAATTTGGAACTCAAAATTAAAAAAAAAAAAGTTAAAATTTTATTTTTAAATATAATTGGAAAAAATAAAATATTTAAAAACAAAACAAAAATCTCTTTAAAATCATGAATTAACAAGTAACAAAAAAGAGCAAACATTTCCCTATACAAAGTAGAACAGAAAAGAGGAATATAATGAAATTATGAATTTCTATTACAAGATCCTGTTCTGTAAAGAATATATTAAAAAAACCCAATGATGTTACTTTCCAAGTTGCCATGCTTCTGTATTTCCCTTGGCATTTCCTTGCAGAGCTTCTCCCACTTTGCCACACAAAGCTGTGAATAATTACTTATTCTGCAGTCATCTGCATTCTGAAAAGCTATGCTGAACCCTAGCAACTTGACTTGATTTGCAGACCACACAAATGCAGATACACTTCAGAATTAAGTAAAAGAAACAGAGCCTACTTTTTAAAATGCAGTTTCCTTCAAAATAAATTAATAAAAAAAATTTTAAAAATAAAATAAAATGAAGTTTCTTAATATCTTTTAAGACTTTTGGGGGAAGGTTTTGTGCAATATTAAAAAGGGAAAAATGTTCACCCAGGTAATAGGTTTATGGGCAATTCAAATTATGTGTCAGTTGAGTTTTTTTAATCTTTTGAAATGAACAGAATTAGAAGTTAGGAAAAGCTGGGGACTGGTGGGTTACAAAGATTAAAACTATGGTCTACTAGAGAACCTAAGCCACCATTTTGTTTCCATATAACTCTAGGAAAAACGCTCACCACTACGCGTTGGAATAATTATCTACCTAAATGTCAAATGTGAGCAGGGGAACAGTCTTTTTATACTAAAAAGAATGTTCCCTTCAGTCCATATGTAATCTCAGTGAGGAAATACAGCACATATGCTCTTCAAAGCCATTCCCAACTCAGTGTGTAGATATATTCAGTCTATTTCCATGCTTATTTTTTAACATGATTGTCATATGTACACATAATCTCATAGAATTACAGGTCTTAAAAAATGCATAATTCATTCCGTGCTTTTGTGACTATGATCCTGATCAAAGTAGCTACAGGATAAAAACGACCCTGGGCTAGAATCAAACCAAAAAATCTTCCATTAGTTTAAATGCTCATTTGTCTCATATCTAAGCAGCTCACGTAAAAGCACAGCCAACAGGGATGGACCTGCTTTTCTGTCTCATTTCTTGTGAATGTTTACAGCATAAAAAATGCTAAACAAAAGAATATGAATCAGGCTTATCACATCTAAAAGATATTTTATTAAATGAGCTTATTTAACATTTTATATTATAAAAACTAGACAGCTCTGTGGATCAGTGGATACAGTACCGGGCCTGGAGTTAGGAAGACTCATCTTCACGAGTTTAAATCTGGCCTCAGACTCTTACTAGCAGTTTGTGATCCTGGGCAAATCACTTAACCCTGTTGGCCTCAGTTTCCTCATCTTTAAAATGAACTAGATGGGGCAGCTAGGTGGTACAGTAGATAGAGCTCTAGCCTTGGAGTCAGGAGGACCTGAGTTCAAATGTGACCTCAGACATCGGACACTTACTAGCTGTGTGACTCTGGGCAAGTCACTTAACCCTGACTGCCTCGCCAAAAAGAAAACAAAAAGTTGCCCTAAAATGAACTAGAGAAGGAAATGGTCAACCACTCTAGTATCTTTGCTAAGAAAACCCCAAATGGGGTCAGGAAGAATTGGATACTACTGAACGACAACAAATTATAAAAACTATCATATATATCACTGACTCACAGTCATTAAAAAGTGTTACTATTTAAATAATCCACGCCATCTATAGCCCTGCATCTTTCTAAATCTATTAACAATATATTATAAGGGAACAATAACAACTATGTGTGATCTAGCTGTATCAGATTTCAAACTATATTATAAAGTGGTAACTATCAAACTAATCTGGTATTGGCTATGAAATACTGGTGAATCAGCAACATAGATTAGGTACAAATTACGTTATAGTAACTGATCACAGTAATCTGGCATATGATAAATCCAAAGATCCAAGCTTTTGGAACAAAAACTCATTAGTTCACAAAAACTGCCAGGAACACTGGAAAACAGAATGGAAGGAACTAGGTATAAACCAGCATCTCAAACCATATTCCAAGACAAGGCCAAAATGAGTGCATGATTTACACATGAAGGGTGATACCATAAGCAAATCAGGAGAGCAAGGAATAGTTTATCTGTCAGATCTATGGCTATGGGAAGAATTTATGACCAAAAGACGACACAAAGAGCATTACAAAATGCAAAATAGCTAATTTTGATTATCTAATTAGTTTGATTTTTTAAAATAAATTTGATTATCTATTACTGGTTATTGATTTTCTGTATTATTTTTGATAATTTTTATTACTGATTATCTATTGAAAAGTTTTAGCACAAAAAACCCAATGCAACCAAAATTATAAGAGAAGCATAAAACTGGGAGGAAATTTTTGCAACAAGTATATCTGATAAGGGCCTCATTTCTCAAATATATAGAGAAATGAGCCTAATTTATAAAAATACAAGTCATTCCCCAATTGATAAATGGTCAAAGGATATGAACAGGCAGTTTTCAGACAAAGAAATCAAAGCTATCTATAGTCATATGAAAAAATGCTCTAAATCACTACTGATTAGAGAAATGCAAATTAAAACAACTCTGAGGTACCACCTCATACCTATCAGATGGACTAATATGACAAAAAAAGGAAAATGATAAATGCTGGAGAAGATGTGAGAAAACCGGGACGCTAACGCATTGTTAGTGGAGCTGTGAACTGATCCAAGTATTCTGGGGAGCAATTTGGAACTATGCCCAAAGGGCTATAAAAATGTGCATACCCTTTGATCCAGCAATAGCACTTCTAGGCCTATATCCCAAAGAGATCAAACAAATGGGAAAAGGACCCACCTGTACAAAAATATTCATAGCAGCTCTTTTTGTGGTGCCAAAGAATTGCAAATTGAGAGGATGCCCATCAATTGGGGAATGGCTGAGCAAGCTGTTATATGAATGTAATGGAATACTATTGTGCTATAAGAAATGATGAACCGGCTGACTTCAGAAAAACCTGGAAAGACTTGTATGGTCTGATGTTGAGGGAAGTGAGCAGAACCAAGAGGACTTTGTATACAATAACAGCCACGTTATGCGATGACTAATATTGTTAAACTGAACCCTTCTCAGCATTACGAGGATCTAAGACATCTCCAGAGGCCTCGGGATGGAAAATGCTGTCCACATCCAAAGAAAGAACTATGGAAGTCGAATCGCTATCACTTATTTTTACCTTCTGTTGAGTTTTGTTTCATCTTTCTGATGGTTCCTCCTATTGGTTTTAATTTTTACTTACAACTTCACTAATGTGAAAATATGTTTAATGGGTATGTAAATGTAAAGCCTATATCAGATTGTGCGCCGTCTTGGGGAGGTTGGGGGGGAGGAAGGGGGAGAAAAATTTTCAACTCAAAAGCATATGGAAGTGACTGTTGATAAATCAAAATAAATTAATAAATTTTTTTTAAAAATGACAAGCAGGATGATTTCAGAAAAACCTGGAAAGATTTACATGAACTGATGCACAGTGAAGTAAACAGAACCAGGAGAACACGGTACACAGTAACAGCAATACTGTTTGATGAAGACCTGTGAATGACTTAGCTATTCTCAGCAACACAATGATCCAAGAAAATCCAAAAGGATTAATGATAAAGCATACTAGCCACCTCCAGAGAAAGAACTGATATTGTTTGAATACAGACTCAAGTGTGCAATTTTCCATTTTCTTTCATTCCTTTTTTTTTTAAATTCAAGTCTTCCCGTACAAAATGAGTAATACGGGAATGTTTTACATGATTGCACATGTATAACCTATATCTCTCTAGGGGAGAGAGAAAGGAAGGGAGGGATGGAATTTGGAACTCAAAACTTTAAAAAATGTTTAAAAGAACTGTTTTAACATACAATTGGGGGAAATAAAATATATTTTTAAAAAGCTATATATAAGCAAAATCAAGCTCAAAGTATTAAAAATAAAAGACTTTCATACTGACCCACAAGTCCTTCTCTGGTAAACGCGTCAGCCGATTTAAAACTACCTTGGGATTATGTGAACATGCTTACAGGGTCAGGAGTTAATCTGACGATGGGTTTTGCTTACTTTTTTTTTTTGTTACAAGGGAGGATTTACAAGGGAAAAGTGAATACTGGGGGGTTGATCCAACCAGTCAAAAAGGGGCATGAGTTATAAAACGGCAAAAAAATGTGAATGTGAAAAAGGTATGATTCTGAGGCAATAACAATACTAGCTAGCATCTACATAGCAGATGCTACGTGCCAGGCACTGCACTGTGCTAAGCGCTTTAGAGAGAGTATCTGATTTGATTCTTACAGCAACCCTGGGAGAGAAGTGTTATTATCATCCCCATTTTACAGAGAGGAAAACTGAGTCAAATAGTGGTTAAGTGATTTGCCCTGGGTTGCAAAGCTAAGTTAAGTGTCTGAGGCTGGATCTGAATTAAGGACTTCTTGATTTCAGCAATGTACACGCTGCTAAATAAATGACAGGTAAAAGAAACAAACATTTAGAAATACTTTAAAACTCTAGGAGCAACAGTGACAGACCTAGGCTTTCTTCAGTGTGTGACTAGTAGCTTGTTAATGTAAGCACCCTCATCAGTTATAATTCACAGCTGGCAGCTGAAGGCAAGCAAAGCACAATTTCTACTTAATAAATGTGATGGTATAGGAAGAAATTTGGCAATAGTATCTTAAGATAAGGATTCTGAAAGTTTATGTTGATGTCAAAACGTCTTAATGCCGTTTCTCCATGTCTGAATTCTTTCAATGTTGGGGAGGAGAGAAAATCAGAGACAATGTGACCCATACATCACATGTTCAAATCCTTGATTTAACCAATAACTAGAAAAATTTTACAGTAAATGTAAAAGAATGCTCAACTAACCATTTGAAGGTCCATTTCCGAGCTCTCGCCCATGATGACGTTTGGGAGATGAATATGGACTGATCTGGCGAGTTCCTGTTGTCGGTGAGTAAGATGCTATTAACTGTCCTCTGGTTTGCCGAGATTTAGGGGACTAGAACAAATAGTAACAAATAATAATTTTCAGAGAAATATGGAGATAAGGGGAAGGATCTTTACATATCTTCCATCACACAGTACAAATCCATCCCGAGGTCCTTCTCAACACAAATCTTACTTGGCTCATTTTCTGATTTCACACACTCCTCTGCTCGCTTCAAAGCTAACAAAGCCATTTTTAGACACTTCAGATCAGTTCCATAATTGTCATGATCCTCAGTCTTGATACATGAACCTCTTACCCAGTGCAGTCGTTCCTTTTCAGCAGGTCACCCCCAAACGGGACGGAATGGGCAAGTAAAAAGCAAGCTCAGATTTTGGTTTGGGCTGAACACAAAATGTGAATTCAGGAAACTAATTCTAGAAACTAGACCACTTCTGTTGTTAACTTAAAATGCTCCGTGGGAACAGGACAGAATGTCTATTTCTAATTGCCCTGGTCCCTCCTGAATTTAATAGAAAAGAAATATGGGGACAGGGATCTATAACACCTAGGCAGAGAAGAACAGGACCCAGGGATTGCACTGCAACTGGAACCAAGCAAGCAACAGGCATTCATTAAGTGCCTACTGTGCGCCAGAGGCTGTAAAGAGAAAGACAAGGAAATTAAACAATTCCTGTGCTCAAGGAGACTATATTTTGGTGAGGGAAACAAGAAGTACAATTACAAGTATATTCACACAAAATGTGAAGAGAATACAAACACATAGGAAGTAGTGAAATTGGAAGTATTTAGCTTTTGGATGTGAGCTGTAAGAATGGAGAGGCTTGGGAGCCAACTTGTAGAGACTGTTGGAAGGTCAAAGGAATGTCTTTTAGGGAAAGGCATGCAAAATCAGAATGTACTGCTTTAATAGGTAGTGAGCTCCCCGTCACTGAATGTCTTCCAAAAGAGGCTGGAAGACCAATGGCTGGGAATCACAGCATCTACATATTAGAAGAGATCTCAGAAGCCATTAACTAGGTTCAATCCATCCCTGAGCAACAGCTCCCTCTGGTGGTGGCTGACAAGTAGCCATCCCGCCTCAGCCCATCACCTTTTGGAGAAATCTAAGGAAGGTTTCTTTACCGCCATCTTCCATCTGCCTCTAAAGCCTCCACTCCCAGCTTCCAGAGCCAGCCATGAACTGGCCAAGCCATCCTCTGAGCTTCCTTCCAAACACACGGTTGTCTCACTCTGGGCTTGTACTGCACTGAAAACAGCCGCGACAAATTTCCCGATGACCAAAAATGAGCCTTCTTTGTAGAGGGGTGTGTGTGTGTGGTGGAGGCCTAGAGGTGGGAAGCACCATTTGTGGTAACTGTCCAGTTGGCATACCCATTCCTTTTGCTCATGGGCTCTTTTCCTTGTCTCCTTTTCTATGTGCTCTGGGGGACTGTCAGCCTGGTGCACACTTGCACCATAGCCACAGCTGCTGGTTCGTCTCCCTGACACAGGTCTCTCTCCACTCTAGTACACCCTGCACGCCGCTGTCAAAGTGATTTTTCTAAAGTGCAAGTTGGACCAGATCACCCCTTCACAAATCTCAAACTCCAGTGGCTCCCTACTACCTCTGTGTCTGGCAAAGCCCTTCCTAAGCTGCCCCTGAACCCAACCTAGTCTTCTTCCACCTTTACACCAGTCCCCCCACTCTCTCTTCAGTCCAGTGACTCTGGCCTTGCTGCTTCTCATATAACACACCCCCTCACCTGACCCCAGGCGTTTTCACTGGCCTCTTTTCTTCCTTCAAGTCCCAACTAAAACCCCACCTTTTACAAGAGGTTTTCCCTAACCCCATGAATTCTAATGCCTTCCCTTTGTGAATTATTTCCAATTTATCTTGTACATATTTTGTCTGTACATCCTGGAAAGCAGGGGCTGTTGTCTGCCTTCTTTGTATCCCCTTGGCTTAGTAAGTATGTGTCTGGCACACAGTAGGAACTTAATAAATGTTTACTGACTGCCATGATACTGCAATAGCCACGGCATGATGTAATAAGGGCCCAGACCTTGGTAGAGAAGATGGAAATGAGGAACACACGCAAGCGATGAATCAGGAAGCACTTATTATGTGCCAAGCTGTGTGCTGGGAGCCAGGAGCACAGTGGTGCACAATGAAACCATTCTTCCTCTCAAGGACCTTAGGAAAGCAGAATGAAATGCAATGGAGGCACTATATGGATCTGGACCCAGCAGTGAGAGGTGTCCAGGCGGGCTGGGTATGGGCAGAAGTGCTCCATGACAAACCCAGGGAAAGCCCAGCGATGATGCTGCTTGAAAACCGGGCGTTGCACAGGCTGGAGGCCAATGTCCATAAGGCACCGCCTGCCAAGCAGGCACGTCCAGGCTAGCTAAGGTTCTCATCATCATCTTCACTAAAGGAACGTGAAAGTAACCTAAAGTAGCTGAGAAGAAAACAAATCGACCTGTGGGACTCTGGTGAAAGAGGGAAGAGACGGCAAACCCCCAGGAGGCGGGGTGCACCAGTCTGGATCCCTTAGCACTGAAGTACTTTTACATTTCAGAAAATTCAAAACCAGATCTCTTTTCCACTAATCTTCATATCAATGCCAGACTCTATATAGCACCAAATGCACTACAGTAAAGTTCTTCTCACAGTTATGATTTTAAATTTTAAAAATACTGGAGAACAGAAAGAATTCTGTGCTGAGACCTGATTGCAGGCTTCCCTTATCATATCTGCCAACAATAAGTAACCATGACCTCAGACCATATCAGAAAAGACTCTGTCTGGTGGGGTGAGCAAGTTCTGAGTACCCTTATCATGTGGCTGTCACTACCTGTGCATCTTGAGTTCCTGTGTTCATATGTATTCAGTCATAACCTCTAAGATTTGTCCAATCCCTACCCTACTTTTCCAGGAATAGATTGCCCAGAACTATGTCACAGTGTATGTCCAAGAAATGAAAGTCACTACCCTAAAGTACATTGTGTTGATGTTTTCCTATTTGCACCAAAAAAATCACTTTATCCAATTGCCAAGTGTCTACACGCTTCAATTGTGTATCACACATTTCTCCTTGAAAACAAATATCTACTTTTCAGAAAATCTCTTTTTTACATTTATTTTTTGGCCCCTTAAAAAAAACCTGAATCTTCGTTCTGTTTGGGTTTGAAAATAAACCATCATTCTACAACTACAAAAGGTTAGAAATGAAAACCAGCCTTTCCATCTGTTCCACTGAGAAGTCTCTTAACAAGAACTGAATGTTTTAGATCTTCATAATGACATGTATATATGAAGAAGTAAGCTTTCTTATCTTTGCTGAGGTCTTTTCCCTTCAGGTTCAGTAACTCCCAATAGCTATTACCCCAGGCAGCTGGTGGAGCAGTGGGTACAGTGCCAGGCCTAAAGTCAGAAATCCAGCCGCACACACTTATTAGCAGTTTGACTCTGGACAACTCATTGAATCTCCATTTGCCTCAGTTATCTCAATTACAAAATGGGGATCATAACAGCACCTACCTCACAAGGTTGTTCTGAAGATGAAATGAGATACTAATTGTAAAAGTGCTTACCACAGTGTTTGGCACACAGTACGCATTTAATAAATGCTTTTGCCCTACCCCTTTTTAGCCCTGAAGATATCTGTCGAGCACTCTAAACTGTAGCTAGAACCCATCTAAAGATGTGCCACTTGCAGACCCTCCACCTCAAAGCGGGCTCACCGGGGCCTGGGCTGTGTCACTAGACACGTACGCTAGGCAACAGAGCATAATACTCAGGGGCTGCCACAGGCCACGAGCATTAGGGGACAGCTTCCACACTGAGAACAGAGACAGCCACTGGAACCCTTGCAGGAGCAGCAGTGGAAAGAAGTGACACGAGGTGTGGGTGGAAGGAGATGGTCTGGCTGCCACAGAAGTGCCATGGAGGGATGCCTGACTCTTGGCAGACACTCATTAATAAACAGAAAGATCTCATGCGGTGGTAGTTTCTGACTGCTTGGGACTAGCCAAGATCCCTCTACACTTTTGGGAAACAGGCTAAACCTAGTGTGTTAGCCAAACTGAAATTTAACCATTGATTTCCTCACTGAAAATTCCATTCTTCCTATAATTTCAAATAGACATGACTTTTTGTTTCAATACCTATCACAAACTGTGATATGATCTTGTACCATTTAAAGCATCTTCTACAAAAACGCTTTATTGAACATCGCCTATTAAAATAATTTCTAAGGATTAGGTGTTCCAAAGGACGAAATGCTGTACATAAATGTACGGTGATGATGATGATGATGATGAACCAGCAGACTCTACTGTGACTGGAACAGTTAAAACCCAGATACTGTGGGTGTTTGGACAATCAAGAATAACCAAAAAACACGGGATGGAAGAGTAATAATGTCACTAGTAACGATGTAACTTTGGTCCCCAAACAAGCAAACAGGAAGCATCATCTAAGCAGGGGTGGGGAACCTGCAGCCACGAGGCCACGTGTGGCCCTCTAGATCCTTAAGTGCAGCCCTTTCACTGAATCCAAAATCTAAAATCCAAAAACTTCATTCTGTGAAATTTGGATTCAGTTCCTGGGAACATGGTGATGGCAGAGGGACCAACCTAAGCCAGAGAGTGGTAGGTAACTGAAATCATGATAAACTGGATTAGGGAAATTCAGGGAGTGGATGTCCAGAAATATCTCGTTATGGACAGCAACAGAATTATGGCACTAAAAGGGATCTGAAAATTCATCCCATCAACACTCCAGTGAATGTGTCCTGGCCTGTGCCAAGGGGGAGGTGATGGGCTGGTGGCACCTCTCTCCCACGTGGGGCTCGTCCTAGCCAGCCCTGGTGGCCTCCCCATAAGGGCTCCCCACAGAGACCCGCACAGACAGAAAAACGCCTGTGCAGACAGCACGCACGCACACACACACACACACACACACACACACACACACACACACCCCAATAAACAGAAGGAGTCTTTTCCCCTCCTTTACAACCCTGGGTTTTCTGCTCAGACCCATTCAGTCTCACAGGAATTTCCTTCTGGCCTCTTCAATCAGTTGGCTACAACTGCCTCCTGAAATAACAGCAAACATTTGTGTTTCTCATTTAGACTTTCAAAGCACTCGACAATTATTATGACACTTGATTATCACAAAAGCCCCAGGAGGTAGGCGCAGTCTGTTATTGTTTTCTGAAGTCACTGGGTGGTGCCACAGGGAACAGAGTGCTGGACCTAGAGTCAGGAAGACCTGAGTTCAAATCCAGCCTCTGACACTCAGACAGGGTGACCCTGGGCAAGTCACTTCACCTCTCTCTCAGTTTCTTCATCTGTAAAATGGGGATAGTAACAGCATCTATTCCCCAGGGTTGCTGTGAGGGTCAACTGACATAATAACTGTAAAGCACCTGGTACAGTGCTGGGCACACAGCAGTACTCTATAAATGCTAGCTGTCCCTGTCATCATTATTGTTACTGCTGTTACCGTTCCACAAAAAGCCTCTCTGGATACCGGGGCCTTTTTGTTTTAGGCAGGACGGAAAAAGTAAACGAGATGATCGCATCTCCTGCTTGACTGATCTGTACTTGCAAACTAACTGTCCTTCCCCACCTCTGGTGAAGATTTCCTGGTTCTCTCCTCGTGACCTTTCACTCACTATCGTGAAATCCTCAAGGCTGCTTTTCAGAACTGTCATTTGCAAGACTCTTACTCTGCCTGAGTTGTTTTCCCTGCATATTTCTGGTGTTCCTAGGAAAAAGTGAGACGATTTCCACTTTAAGCATTAAGAAATGTTTAATCGATGAAGTCACTAGCTAAAAAAATCCGGGCCAAATATTTTACAAAGAGAGAGTCCCCAGGTATTCCCACATGATTGTACTGAAGGGTCACATCTATCTTTCCAATGAAGCACAATGATCGTGGCAATGGGCATTCTGGCCAGCAAGTTCACCCCTGTGACCACTGTACTGCACAGAAAGAATGAACTCTAAAACGCCGTTCTCTTCAGTCCAAATCATTTTGTTCCTATCTCCCAAAGAACAGCCTTGGGGCAGAAAAGAACTGCACTGAATTTCTGGCTGGACTCCTCATCTCCCAAATCCTACTCTGACTCAAGAAACAGATGCAGAATTACAGTCACAGCTGCATGCTGAACCCAACAAGTTGGATAATGGTCCACTAAACTGCTAATTAAATTGCTAATGATTTTTTTAGTGCCATTGCAGTATTTTGCCACCTTTGTTTAAATAAAAGAAAAGTATCTCGGAGATTTTAAAAATTTCAAGTTTCTGTTTTGCTAAATACCACAGAGACATCCAAAGAGGAATTATACATAAACACATTTCTCTAAAATGACACTGCCATATGGGAAAGAGGGGAAGCTCATTTACTGACCAGACTTTTGTTTTAATTTACTTTCACATGAACTGACTTCCCTCTCATCTTACTATCTCTATGAATTAGGTATTAGGGTTTGAAGCAACACCCACTGTTGGTATGAGAACGTGATAAACTGACATATGTCCTGACATGCTAGCTCCAAGAATGTACTGACCCAGTTTACAAAAAGGGATTTGCAACAGCACAATTCTAGTTTATTGTGACAATGGTAGTGACATTTATTATAGTGCTGCTACTGTTTCGTTTAATCAAACCAGTTTAGCTGACAGAGGTAATTATAACTCTGACCTAAAACTGTTAATGTTCCTGTTTCTGTTCTGCTTTTGTACAATAATCTACACAATATGTGCATGAAAGTTCTCATAATTCCAGTTATTTATGCTTTTTGTGTCAGAACATTCACTCCTACAATTAAGACACTAATTTCTAACACACTGTTTCATAAAGGTTTGTAGTTCACATTTGCCTCCTGAGTAATCAGTAAATATTAAGAAGACTGACCATTAATTCTTTCTTTGTTTATTAAAAAAAACATTATAAAAAGTAACAACCAACATGAGATAAGGACTTATCAAAAATAACAACTCACTTTAGTAAATTATTTCCCTTGCTTAGTGATAAACTTTTAAATAAATAAATGGAATTTCAAAAGGTCTAATAATCCACATAATTTTCCCACATATAATTAGAATGTACAATTAGATACTTACATTTTCCTGTAATAAGACATCCAACTTCAGGGATCTTTTAACACTGTAAACAAAATATTTAAAGAGATCTCAAATTTTATAAGCCTCAAGTAACCACATTTTCATAGGCATAAGCAAAGTTTTTAAGAGTCAATTTTGCAACTCAATTTCACCTACTTTACAAAACTGGAAAATGATAGAGGAAAAGCAACTCTCAAGAGGCAGTTTATTGTGCCTTGTTTTGTGTGTTAATACTATAGAAGATAGTACACCTTCAGAAATGACATTCTCTCTATAAATATTTCTATTTTAAAAACACATTTATAGATACATGGCATGCCACCCTAATCACACAAGCATTAAGATTATATTATTAAATGCACCAGCTTCAAAACATCCTCTCCTTGTTACCTTCCCAGAAAATTATCCCCAACAAACCCAATTCTTCACAAGAATCCAATCACTTACATACCTTTCGTGTGGGTATTGAAAGTAACTTGTCATTAATAGGGGAGACTCAAGGTGAAAAAAAGTTGTTCATCCCATTCTCTGAGCTCTTAACATGATTCAGTGCTACCAGAGTATGGCTTAACTGGGGAACAGATGCTCCATGTCTTTACAAGTCCCCAACCCATAAGAAACTATTTTTTTGTCTTCTTTACTAAACTGAATCAGGCACATGCCCAGCTTTCCATGTACAAAATCTGTTCTGATGAACTGGATGCCCAGCTGTTCATGAAAATACTCAGAAAGGAAAAGCAGAATATTTATAAGACTTTATTTCGTGCAGCTGTCTTCTAAAGAGCAGTCATCAAAATTTTATTGAATGCAGACTAAATACTCCAAGGAGAAAAAGGTCAACATAAATTTGGTCTACTTTTCTCAGTGACAAATGCAGCTTTAGAAGCACCTTCTTGGTCCTTGCAAAATAGAAACTAAACTAATTACATAAAAATTAAAGCAGAAAACAGGTCAGGAACATTGTGATAGTTCAGAGAGTGGAGTTTTAGAAAAATCTCTTTTTCAAACCAAAAAAGAAAACCACTGAAAAATGCGTCCTTATCTAGTGATGGTCTTATCTAGCATTTATTGGCAGCCACCAGAGAGGGATCCAAGACCAGGTGGGTTTGGACCAAAACATATTCCTTAACAATCAACAGAGAAACAAAATTGAAGATATATTAAACTACATACAAGATTACTGCCATTATCAACGTAATGTTATCCTAGCCCACAAAATTTTTTCTAAGAAGCATCGAAAGTCATTTAAAATAAACCTTAAAGAAAAAGATCTTTCAGAAATCTATTTAAAATCAAATGACTATATACTCTCAATCAAGCATGGAGAAAATAGTGGTATGAATAGCTCGAAGTGGGAAATGATAAAAAAAACTATTTACATTTAGTTTAAAATAAATATTACTCTACATTGTACACTATGTTCTAAAAATTTATAACTCTTAAAAACACCTTCAATTACGTTCAATTAATCAGAGCTCTTGATGCCTGCTATACTCAAGACACTACGCTAGGCCAAGATAGTAAATGGAAATAAGGTACAGATCCTGGTCTCAAGGAATTAATACTCCAACAAGGGAAAGGCGGAATATGATCATTGCAAAGAAGAGTTCCAGTCTATGAGAGAGGAAGAAGAGATCTCACACTGCTACAAGGGTCTGGGAACGGTTTGTGAGCAAGGTGACACCTGAGGCAGGTCCTTAAGGAAGAGAAGAATTTAACAGGTGGAGATGGAGAAAGGCAGGGGGACATCCAGCCTGCAGAAAATGGGAACAAGGGCACCGAAAGTACAGGACAAGGCCGAGGGAAGTGGGTCATACTCTGAAGGAACAAGGAGAAAAGGGTTTCGGCTTCCCTCAAACTTACTGAAGTTGGAGGGTTAGGGAGCGGAGATACTAGAGGTTAAAACAAGGTCACAGGCCACAGGGTAAACTGTAACACAGATTACTTTTCAGACAGAACTCGATCCCATAACGTTCACTGCAGTCTCGTGCAAGCTGAAAGAGCAAGATTGTACAAAGTGTTTGTTACAGGGGGTCAGAGAAGGCCCTGGAATCAGAAAAGGCCAAACGAGGGCCAAAGGTCTTCAGGTGGACTAAGCTGGTTGGTCAAACGGAAGGGTTCTAGAAGGATGTGCCTAAAGGAAAGGCGCAGAGACAGAAGGCTCATCACGTGATAGGGAGGGCCCAGTCTTAAAGACCTGAAAGAGTCCTATTAGGAAGTAGTGGGAAATGATGTCGGACAGGTAAGTGGGGCGGGATTATGGAATTCTTTGAGTGATGGAGGATTCGTGATGCTTGAAGACCTTAACACCAACAGTTCTGCCCTTAAGCAGTACTTGGTATGTAGGAGGCACTTAATAAGCATTAATTGATATTATCAATAATAATTTTCTCTTACTGTCACATTCTGACTTATTTTGTTTAAAACCTGATTCATCAGATCACAAAAATTAGGTGAGGTTTAATTATATATCGCTGAATGAGATCAGTACTGAAAAACTTCAATTAGTTATCTCCAAACAAATAAAACTAATGGTGGTCTTGGCTTGAGCTCTCCTCCATGCTTTCCCAATATTTCCAAAGCTACACAGTCTGGGGGTATGAATGCCACACAGAGGTTTGGAAAATAATGTGAATTGAGGCTAATGAGGGTAGAAGTATTCTACCAATATTCTAAACACGTAAAAACTAAAGGCTCTGTCATGGGACTTCTAAAAACAGGGATTGAACATGGAATGGAAAATCAGGGGTGATGGTGGCAAAAAGAAGAAATGTAGTCACATGGATACAACTTTGGGAGCCTTGAAGCCATGCCAAATTCTTCCTTGAAGGTTGGGCAAATCACATAATCTCACTAAGCTTCATAGAGCTGATAATAACACTGGCCTGTAAAGTACTATGAAATCTCTGAATGGAAGATAAAAATATCACTTAGTATCTCTCTGCTTCCATTTACTCTCCACTATAATGGAGATGATAATATTGCCAGCCACCAACTGCACTGGGGTGTTTAGAGGATTACTGAATGTGCTTGTGAGATGATCAGAAATCCTCTGATGAAAGGCAATGACCAAATTCATATCCCATGTGACTCCTTGTACGTAAATCGAGATATTAAATATGATTTATTTTCCACCCTATATTGGGGAATGAGTAGAGAAGGCAGGAGGGGCTCTATCGGCCCTTTTGTCCTTTCATGTGCTCCTTTGACATGAGCTGGGTGATGAACAAGCATGGGACACACACAGGTGGGAGGTGGAGGGGGGACACATACCCCTCTTGTCATTCATGAAAGATCTGAAAGCTCTCCCATCATGCAGTGAGATTGCTCTTCTCCAGTTCATGATGGCAAAACCAACAACAAATACTTGCCATTATCAAAAGATGGTTACTGTGTGATGTGGTTTCAAAAATTTGTCCAAAGGTTACCAGAGAAGCACACTTTACAAGAAGACATGTTTAAGAATACACATTTAAGGGATAGGAGATTTAAGTGAAATACTCAAAGGACAAGTAAAATAATTATTATAAAATTATTTCAGGCTTAAAGTATACTCCCAGTTGCAAATATTAAAAAACTCCTGATTGGCATCATGATAACTGTCATTTATCCATATCCTTTTCTATTTTTTCTTCTCTTGGCCACTCACCTTCATCCAGAGAAGGGAAGTGATCAACACTGGTAATCTGTAATTGAAATGAGCTGCTCGCACTCTACTGCACCTCCTCTCTACCTTCCCCCAGACCACATTCCTGGTTCTTACACTTTTCCTTTGCTTTTAATCCTCCATATTCTCTTCCTAACTCTATCCCCATCTTAAACTGTGTCCCCTTTCCCTAATCTGTTTCCATGTTAAGTTTAAAGTCTTACTCTACCAAATGTTGTGTGTCTTCATACATGTGTATGTGCTATGTGTACATGAGTCCTTTCAATCCCCCTTTGTAGTTCGGGTGGAGAGCAAACAGTTCAGATGATGCCTGGTGCCCTCATCCCTTGCCTCCATTTTTGCCTTCTCTTCTTCTCACGTACTCCAGTTAAAATAAATAGTAAGCTCTTTCCTAATATATTTCTTCTTCTTTCCTCTCAAGACCATCAAAACAGAATAAATCCATCCTCAATCCATCTGTCTTATTCAATTCCTTCTGTAACCTCTTCTTCCCCTACTGTATTTACCTTTCTATGATTCTCTCGACTCATGTGTTTGCATTTCAAGGTATATAATGAGCTCTGGACTTTTCATAAAAAATGCCTGAAAGCCCCCTATTCCACTAAAGGTTCTTTTATTTCCCTATATGTCTTTCAGTGTACTTTATTCTAGTCGTCAGATTTTGTTTTTGAAATACAGTATTCCCAGATTATGTCTCTTTTGAGGTGGCAGTTGCCAGGTCTTGTGTGAAACAGATTGTGGTTCCTTAGTACATGAACCTTTTCTTTCTGGCTGCTTCGGGTATTTTTGTTTTGATCTGTAAACTCTAGATTTTGGCTATGCTATTCCTGGGTATTTTCAAGTCATGGTTTCTTTCAGGAAGTGATTAGTGGATTTTATTTTCACTTGGTCCTCTGAGAAATTTTATTATTTCTTGAACCATGGTTTTTCTGGGGAATGGGGAGGGTCATAGTTTTTATTAAGGAGTCCAAAAATTCTCTCTTCTGTGCTTGTTTTCCCTATCAATTGTTTTTGAAAGTAGATACCTGACATTTTCTTCAATTTTTTGTATATTTGAATTTTGTTCCAACATTTCTTATTGTCTCTTTAAGTTGTTGAGCTCTGTCTGAGCTATTCTGACATCCAGGGTAAGGGATCCACTTTCTGTTCTAAGCTATTTATTCTTCTAATATTCTCCAGAGGACTTAAACAAATTTATCCTTTTCTTCATTTATTCCAAGTGTTCTTAAAGACCTTGTTCCCGAATCTGTTTGGTTTTCCTCTGAGACTCTGCTTGTAGCTATGGAGTTATTTCTTTTTGGGATTTCCTCTTAAGTGATTATTGACCCATTTTTCTTCATAAAATGCTTAGCATTTTATTTTATTTACTCTTACCT